ACCTGCAAGACAGAATATAATGTGCTCTTTGCTTGTATTTATATTTGGGACATCTGGAGAAATGAAGGAAACTTTCAAGGAGACAGTCATACTGGCTTTAACTAGGCCCTAACTAGGCTTTAGTGTCTGAAGAACATTTTTACAGAAACAAAAAGGTAGAAGTTACTCTATACAGAGTGAGTTTTGCCAGAAAATGCAACAAAAAATGAAAAGCTTACCCATGTGCCATTCATCTGTTCATTCAATGATTCATTTACCAATATTCAAAAAATATCTACTAAATGGATAAGATTTTAGTGATAATTTTTTGATGATATGATATATATTCAAAGAAATTATTCCCTCAACCTGTGTCAATAGGTTTTGGACACAATCCTGTCAGTTCAAATGCATATATATATATATATATATATATATATATTATTTTTTAGTAATTATCATGACAAATTTTTTAAGATTTGGCACCAGCTAATAGATGACTTTTGGGATGCGTGAATGAGAGCTCCTCTCAAATACCAAGGGACATTAAAATTATTAGAAAATTAGAATTTCAGATAAATCTAAAACAAATACACTTGTCTAGAAATGTTATATAGCATTGGTAAGCTGCAGTATAAACCTAATATGTCTTAACCTGACTTTTTTCTAATAAACGAAGTCATTTTATTACCAGCCTACAGATGTTGTAAAGCTTGGAATGACAACTTTTTATTTATAAATTATAAGCTCCTGAGTATTTCTTAAAAATATATAATCTTGAACTTTGTTTATGACAACAAACCTTTTATTTTTATTTTTTACATATATCAGATTTACATTTAAGAATAAAAAAGGAAGTCATTTTGAGATCATGCTACTCAAGCTAAGTAGCTTATCTTTGGCTCTGCTTCAAAACTGATGGAACTTTAACAGACTATTGTTTCGAATTCCATCCCCATGATGGGAACTGTTGTTTATGTCCCAATGTCATAATATTTTTAAAATTCAATAAATAAATAAGTGAAGAATACAATGAATTTATGAACCTTGTTAAAAGAATATTTATTTTATTTTGGAAACCACAGGATTTAAGTAAAAAAGAGTATAGGCTTTACTATCAGGTAGACATAGTTCGATTCAACCCAAATTTAATTGGGAATTTGTTTCTATCTAGTTACAATGAAGAATTGATTTAGAACTATCTTTTTTCCTCATGTTTTCTAACTATCAGGTAGACGTAGTACCTGATAGTAAAGAAATCTGATATATTTCAAATCCTGCTTTACCACAAAGCAATTTTGTGATTTTCATAAATTTCATCTTTCTCGAGTTGTTAAAATGTGATAATAATACTTCAGTTTCAAGGTAGATGTGAAGATAACGATGAAAAATAGCTTTCTTTTTCAAAGTTTCTTGCATAGTGCTAAGTGTACATTAAGTTCTCATAAATATTGACCCATTTTCTCTCTTTTCTTTTTACACAATAGGTCCTCTTTCTGGTAAATTTCAGCTCTTGGTAGTATTTGTTCAAAGTTATTACTTAACAGTGTCTTTTTCAACATATTTCAAAATCTAACAGCAAACTACAGACAGAATGTAATTCATGAAAAGCTGATTCATTTACTGCACTGCCATTAAAAGAATGCAGTGTGCTAGATAAAGCTATCAAGGCATGTTTTTAAATTAATGTTTTAACATGTCTTATTTTATATGTAACACTGTGCCCCTGTGTCATCTGGTGTCTCTAAAGAAGCCATTATTCTCTGGCTATATTTTTAAAAAGAGAGTGAAAACATACACTAGTATTAAGGGATATCACATACAGTTTAGTTACAATAGTAGATCAAGTTCTGAAACCATTTCTTTCTTATCGTACTAAAATTAAACAACTTTCATGGGGGTAATTTAGATTTTTTAAACATTTAAGTACATCACTTAATTTGGTAAATAGTTCATGAAACAACATGGTTTTGAATTAATACATTTTCAATGTGCATGTCCTTCCTTAATTTTCAGTTTCCCAAATAAATGGTTTCTTTTCCTAAGTATTTTTTGCATCACAAAGTTATTTTGGTAATACTAATGTTCTCAAAAGTTAGGTCTATATTTGTGCTGATTAAAAAGACACAGCCATGATATTATATCCCTGATCAAAATATTCTCAAATCTCTTAAACTATTGAGGTGTCAATGCCCCTGGAAGAGTTGGAAATAGAAAACATGAGGAGGAAGATAGTTCTAACTCAACTCTTCATCGTGACTAGGTAGAAACAAATTTTCAATTAAACTTGGGTTGAATCAAACCAGTTTTAGCATTTATTTTAGTGGGGGAGATAGGGTATAAATTGGGTGAAAAGGCTAAGTTTTTATTTTGAGTTGTCTCCTCAACCTCATTTTTAATGAGAACCAAATAATCATGGTGGGGTTTCCATAGATATGAGAGGTCAAAAACACTGCTTTCAATTGAGTCCCGGCAATTCAATTTATAAAGTCGAAGTGCGCATTAGAATTTGATTTCATAAAATATATGACAATAATGGTTTTGGAAAAAAGGAAATTTAATTGTTTATTATATTTTCCCTTTACCCGACATTATTTTCAAAAACACAACAATCACATTTTCATAAAATATTCAGTCCCTAATTTTATAGTCCGAGCTACTGCTTAGTACTTCTCATATCTATATTTACTTATAGATCTATATTAACTCTAAGCACTGATAATTACAATATTTACTATTGAACAAATGTGTGCATATCTTTATTTTTGTTCCAACACATGCATCGATCAGAAAAGAGATGCAATTTCAGTTTTCAGCTGCTAAATATAATGCCGATCATCTGTATTGCCATAAATAATTCTGGCAATTAAACATGTAGGTATAAAAATATATTTCCAAAAATATATGTTTGAAAGTATTTTTAATTCAGTGGGGTTAAAATCAGTGCATCTTAAAGGACTTGTCATATTTCAATATAAATGTAATCATGTTTATAATAGGGTATGCTGATAGCATTTGACTAAATGATCAGATATGTTTATTTGAAATCATAAAAGAAAAATTAAAATAATGATTGTCATTGTTTCTTTCACCTACAGTTCAGAAACAGCAATCTTTCTAAGCTTAGTTATTACAGTGAAGTTTTTAATAACATCTAGTTCACAAAAATATTGATAGACATAGCCAACCAAATATTGAAAAATAGACAATCTAACTTCCAGATTCCTTACCAATTAAAATGATGTAATAGTTTATAAACATAGTCGTTTTTAAAAAATTTATTTAGCTTTCATTTTTTTTAAATGAGATGTTAAAACAGGTAACTTTTCAGTCCTATAGATGGCTGTAGTTCTCCATGGAACATAAGTTAGAAAGAAAGTTTGAAATGTATGTATAGAATAAGACATTAAAATTTCCTCTAATGAAAAAGAATACAAGCATTGCTTGTTATTTCCTATTAATACAAAGTATGAATTGATTAAGGTTATTTTATATGGAAAGTTATTTGGTCTCTTACTAGTTAATAACTAAAATGGCTATAAAATTCATATAGAACTTTAACTTGTCATAGATTTATTTATGCATTTTTATATTGACCTTTTGGAAACAAGCATCACAGAAAAATAAATAATATAAAAATTACAAAATTGTAAAGCTTATAAGTAATGGAAATCTATTCCAACTCATGTATCTTTCAGAATGATTAGTAAGCAAGTAAATTGAAATTGATCTTACTGCTTTTTTTCCCCCCTTAAACGATTAAGGAGGATATTTTCTGGACAATAGTGTCCAGGTGAATAAAGGTAGGATTACAAATGTAAGTTTAAATAGCAAACCCAACACAAAGATGAAGATTTCAACATTTTAACATCTCCACCCACTCTTACTCTCAATGTCTAATTCAGAGCTTTACCAAAAATACCCCCAAACCCAAAACACTCTCCAGTAAACTGTTCTTAAAGAATTTGTAATATTCTTTGTGTTGTGATTATGTACTGTGAAAGGCAGAAATTATATGAGTCCTGAGAGGTGGTGTTTTATTAAAACTGAAAAAGTTTTACAAGTTTGTCTAATTTTTTTTTCTTAATAAAACAGCTAAAGCTTCCTTCTGTCTCCTCCCACTCCTTTGGCTTGGTGCTTACTCTTTAAGCAACTTGCTTCATTTTTTAGCTATGGAATTTCACTGGGAAGGGCCTCCCTAAGAAACCATGTGAACCGGGATACACCATAGTGGATACACCATAGTGAATGCAGGCAGACAGGATAAGAAATCCCTTTCCTCAGCTTTCCCAAACCCTCAATGCCTTTCCAGTATTCTCTTGTTTCTAGTCACAAAAGGCAGCTGAGTTCACAGCTGGAACAAGTTGTGCAGTGAACCCTAGTGATTTACCCAAGTAGCAAACAGGGTCATTGGCTTAATTGGAATCTCGGTGGCCAGGCACACTAAGAATCACTAGCCTAGGTCGAGCGACACGGAAAAAGTGTTTCTGTTTCTTGACAGCGAATGAAAATGACGCAGAATGTATCGATCGGTAGATTATTGATCTCTTTCCTTCCTTCGTTCTCCCACTTTACGAGCCGGAGAGCCAAGATCTCACTTCTGTGCACCCAGGTGCCCCCGAGATCTCCATTTTCCCCAAATGCATAAAAGGCTAAAAAACGGCCACATTCCCCAGCACCACGACGTGGCTACAGCTCCTTTGTTTACCATATAAGTCACACCGGGGGTTCACTCCTCGCCCTCCCCCCTGCTTTAAAGCCGGGTGCGGTGGAAGACTGAGGAGCACCCCCAAACTCCCGCTCAGCCCGAGTCAAGCACTGAAAGCTTCACAGATTTTTTTCCTGAGCCTCGAAGAGAAACCATGCAGTCAGAACCTTTTGAACTCATAATCCCCCAGGGATGTCCGTCTCCCAGAAGAGAGCCGGCTTCCCAGGCAGCTTAGGAAACTTAACCGAGATCCCAGAAAGAAGGTGAGGTGCAGCTCCGGGCGAACGGAGCTCCGAGGCGACATCCTCTTTACCTGCAAAGTTGCAATCTTCGGGCTGAAGTGATGGGATCCGAGGACGGACGGCGCGGGTGCTGTGCGGGGTGAAAGCACGCCCGGCAAATTCCGATGGAATTCCCTTAGTCGCTGCCGAGTTTTGGAGCATTCCAAGGAAAACGCATGAAGCTGGAGCCCACGCAGCTGGCACCGAACTGGGCGGAGTGAGGATGCTCTGAAAGCGAAGCCATGGGAGGCGGGGGAGGGGCGGGCCGGGAGGGGAAGGTGAACGCCAGTGGGGGAGAACCTCTCCCACCCACCCCCGCTCTCGCCGATCCCTCTGGATAAAGTTAAGAGTTCCCACGGCTGACAGCGGATGAGCCCAGAGAAAGGCAGCCCCCCCTCCGTCCCCGGCGGCTCCCGGGCTCTGGGTGCGCACAGACCTCGCTGGAAAGGGATAGTCCGGGAAGATGCGCGTCCCACGCACCACACTGCTTGGAGGTGGAGGGGACCCGCGCGCGGGCAGGTCCCCAGCTCGGCTACCCTCGAAGAGCTTCCACCCACTGGGCCAACTGCTTGAGGTCAGCCAGTGGGTAGGGGAGCTCACCGCCAGCCAGCCGTCATCCAGCCAAGTCGGTGGCGAGAATCTACCCTGTGGTCCTGGATGCAAGCCAGACACACCTCCAGGCTTCGGGCGGGCTCTGCAGGCGTGTTGGACTTAGTGCGCTCCGACACCCAGCTTTTGAATGAATGCCCTGCTCCCAGCTCGGTAAACAAGCACCCATGCGGCCCGCTGCCCGACTGGAAAAAAGTAGACCCCTGCAACTCTCAAAGCTTCTCCCACTCCGGTTTCTCTTGGCGCCTGGCACCCTCTTTCCTGTCCTCAAGGTGTCAGACTTCCCCTGCAAGAGCTGGAGGATGCGGCTTGCCACTAGTGTCAACAATTGAAACAGTCGCAATGAATAAATGATGAGCCACCGCGTTTCAACCTCCCTCCCCACCCCCAGCTTGGTCTTTCCAAAAGGCATAGGAAATCAGCAAGTTTTCACCAAATATACCAAAATCCTAAGACGCGAGCCAGCCTAGGGGTACAAGGTTCTGGCAGCCGCAGGTGATGATGTGCGAGTATGTGCGTGCGTGCGTGCGTGTGTGTGTGTGTGTGTGTGTGTGTGTGTATTACTAGTACCAGCTTACTGAAATTGAGATTTCAAGATAAAGGTTGTCTCTTGGCTAATGTCTTTGGTGTTCACATGTGAAAATAAGATTAAAGTGCAGAGAGGAATACAGACACACACCACACATACACACACACTATTGGCAAAGTTGGCAATAACTCTTGCTGTAACTGCAGTACGGTGATTCCCAGCTTGGAGGCTTGGCTGGTTGTGACCCCATGACCCAGAGAAAGAGAGTTCATGTGTAAGACAGAGAGTGGAGCCCTTGAGGAATCCTAGCTGGCAATTACCCTCCTCGAGACTTTGTTTCTATCTGATTTCCTTTATTTTCTGAAAGCCCTGAGGTTAGCTGCTAGTCTCTGATTGAATCCCAGCAGATGCCTGATCCAGCTTCCAGTTTGTGCAACAGATAAGGAACAACGGTTTCCCCCTGTCCCAGCCGCGTTGTTACAGCTGGGATGCTGTGCTGTGCGGACTGGAAGGAGGACCAGTTTCTTCCCATAGAATATTCCCAAGGAATATAAACCAACAAACTGGCTTCTATATTCAGACTCTAAAGCACAAAATTAAAGAATTTCCTTTTTTATCTTCCCTTACCCACTTCATAGTTCACATGAATTGAGGTTTTTGTAAATAGTTCTCAAATGAGTAAAGAGGATATTACCAGAGATCACACTGGGGTGACTATGCATACTGATTTTTTTTTCTTTTAAGTCACTTTACTGATTTGTTAATTTGTCTTTCTCCCTGCCTAACTGCTCCTCTATTGGTTTATTCCCAGCTCAGCTAGACCCCTATTCTAAATTTCTGGGAGCACTACTTCCAGTCCTTCCCAAAATACTGAGGTACATTGAGATAAGCCTGGTTCCTACAATGCCTCTGCAGTAAACAAAGGAGAGAACAAAAGGCTTTTTTCCTTCCCTGAATCTCTTTTTACTATTTGCTGTAAGAAGAATACATTGACATGTTTAAACAGTTATTTATTTTTCCTCACATTAAATGATGGCTTTTAAAAATATGCAAAATGCATCTGTCAATAGACAAGGTAATAACTTCATAATAAATTCAAGTCCACTTTCTAATAAGAGAGGGGTCACTATATATATATATATATATATATATATATATATATATATATATGGGAGGGGTGACTATATATATATGTGTGTATATATATATGTGCGTGTGTATATATATATATATATATTTCTCTGAAATTCTATGTCGTTTAATGTAACTATAAGTATTTTTGTGACATTTATTGACACTGTTTCTTCTCAGCCTGAAAAACAATGCCACATACTGTGTTTGAGTTTATATCTTTGAGATAAACCCTTGGGAGATAGAATTCCACGTACTGTGATGAGTATAGATCTTTTTAATGCATTTTAAAATACATGCAAAAGAAAAGCTGATCAGTTACAAATTTGCCCATTGTTTAGAAATTATGAACTTTACTTTGCAACCTTAGCATCTGTACCAGATTAAATGCTCCTGCCACTCTAAGGATTTGTTCTTAATAGCAAATGTCATATCTGTCATGATGTCGGTGAAGAGATATTTTACCAATTTCCCCTAATTTGTAATGTTTTCCCATAAAAGATGCCTATGAAACTGCAATAAATACATAATAGAAAAGAACATCAAGGACAGGATTATGTAAGTCAGCCATCTGAGCAGGCTGTGTTCCCATGGAAAGAAGAATTTGTATTGATCACTGAGCCTCCTTTTCAACAGTTTCATGAGATTATTGATTGCTGGTCTCATGTCTACCACAAAATGATTAGCAATTACAGGAAAATTATTTGAAATCTGTTTAAACAGTCTGGTGAATTGCATACACTACAGTCATTAGCAATCCAAAGAGTTTATTTCTAACAGTTTAAACATACGAGTTTGGCAGCATTCCACAAACCTGGACTCCACATAAAATGCAATTCATTGAAGTCAAATAAATTTACAATAAACTGTTATATGCTATCTGAAATTTATTTTTAGTACCTTATGAAAGAAGAGAGCACTCTTGTTTCAAAAGACAAGTGACCTAAGAAATGATAGCAGTAAAACAATTCTCTGTAATGTCTATTTATAGCTAATGTGTACTGTAGAATTGGGATCACATTGTTTTAGGAATACAATTTTCAGTTTACTCCTAAAGGTTATTGTTCTGTTTAAGAATTGATATATGCCATGTATGAAACACTTTGTTCCAAACTGTTATACTTCGGACATAGAGACAAAGTCACAGAGACAAGTATTTGGAGAATTTATTCATGCATATGTGTCACCATTAGCATTTTATGTGCCAGTAATGCATCTGTGTATGATGCCATCATGAAGTGGATGATAATGGCCTTTCTGATCCTAGGATAAATTAAGAAATAGATTATCATTGTCTTTGACGCCCATGTGACCTGTCTTCTACCTTTGTGACCAGGACTTTACTTCATATTGCGCAAGGGCTTACACAAACTCACTGAAGGGCCTCTACCTCTGCTTAAGGTTTGGACCTTGGCTCCTGCTCCAGGTTTTTGATTCCTATATTTTGTCATCAGTGTAATGAGGCTTCAATCTAACCTATATGACCATGCCTTATACATAGCTTTTTATTTACCTATTTTAAAAAATTTAGCATTTTCTAAGTTATGAAATTTTTATTCAAAAATATTAATTTTAATGAATTGCTATATATTTCTATGAAATACTTAAATATTTTTCAGGTCTTGAAAATGTCATTGTTTTAAATTATTATTTCCAACATAATCATTTAAAATTATTGTTCTAAGCTATTAAAATTACTCAATTTTTGTTGAAAGCCATTACATACACATTTTTGTCTCTATCTCTGATTATGTCCTTTACATAGATTCCTAGTAATACAGCCATGAGTCATGATGCAGGAATATTTTAAAGTACATGCTCTAGGTATAGGGAGCTTGTTGCATTGAACCCTCATCAACATGGGGCACACTTAAGGTCCCTTTTCTTCTTTTTTTACGTTAGCAGACTTCCTACTTGAAAAAAAAAAAAAGGCTATCTCAACTAATGAGTTCTGTTACTAGAAACAGTGACTTTTATATTTTGCATGCTTTGCTACTTGTTTCTTTTTGAGTTTATATACTTTTTAATACTTAATGAGGGTTTTGTTGCTTTTACCCCATTTGGTTTAGAGATAATGTTACTAGTTTTAAAGAGTTTTCATTCTTACAAACATTAAACTATCAAATTTTCCCTGATAATTTCTTTTAGTACTTTAATGCTCCTAATATATTTTTACCTCCCATATTCACTTATTTTTTTCAAGCTTTTAAAAAATGATTTCATGTTTAAGGCAATTGCTTAGTCATTCATTTCATGGCCCCTGGAATCACGTTATCTAAATGTAAAATCCCAGTCTCAACATTCATTCAACAAATGCTTATGGAGTCTGTGTTTAAATCATTTATAGAGTACAAAGCATTTTACTAAGTGCTTCACATACATCTGTGAGCAAAACAGATAAGATACTGATATTTTGAAGAAGACAGACAAAAATATTAAATATAATAAATAAGTTAATGACATACTATGTTAAAGGGCAATTAAAGGGACAGGGTATGGAGACCGAAAATGCTGATAGGAATAGATATTGGTGGTGGGTTGCAATTTTAACCACTTTTCAGGGGAGTCTTCCTTAATCTGGAGACATTTAAGTAACAACTTGGAGGTTAGAGAACTGGCTGTATTGATTCTCTGGTGAACAGTGTTCCAGGTAGAGGAGTGGGCTGAGCTGATTTATGTTTTAAAGTATTGTTCTTGCTGCTATACTGAGGATAGATGGAGGGAAGCAAAGGTGGAAGCAGAGAGAACAGTTAAGCGGCTACTGAAACAAGCCAGGAAATACGGTGTTGACCAATTTGTACAAGGTAGAGATGGATTCAAGATCTAGTCTGAAAATAGATTCAATTGAATTTTCCAAAATGTTTGTATGCAGGCTATAAGAAGAGTTAAGGATAGCTATGAGATTTTTGGCGTGAGCATGTGGATGACTCTCAATAAAGGATATTGTAATATGGAGAAGACAGGAGTTGGAATATGTTTTTAGGGAGAAGATTAGGAATTCACTTGTGGACATGTTAAGCCTGAGATGGCCATAAAAACACTTACAAGCTGTGTAACCTTGGATAATGTTACTGAATTTCCACATAACTTGGTTTTCTCATCTGTCAAAGAGTGAAGTAATTGTTCCTACCTCACAGGCTTGTTATGGGGACCAAAGTATTTTTACATGTAAAGCACTTACAAAAGTGATCAACACAGAATATACAATGTGGAAGTTTTGCTTCATTATTATCATTAGATATAATTACAACATATTTGGGACTCATTTAAGCATGCATTATTTAGTGACCATCTAACTCTTTTTCTTTTACAAAATAGGAAACCAGTACTTTTATTATAACTGGAAAATAATAAATTAGTTCTTCATTTTCATACTGATTGATGATGTCATGTGTTTATTATAAACCAAATTCTTCTGCCAATCCCCCTTTCCATGCCGTCTATTCTTTACCACTGATACCTTCCCTCATTTTTGTGATTTGGCCCCAAATTTCATTTGTTTCCTTCTCTATCCTTTTAGGTGTTGACCAATTACTAATCACTACAGCTGGAAGGCTGGGTTGGGCATCACCTTTGTCAATTCCCAAT